GCTTGAGGCTCTGTCTCAAAAAAAAAAAAAAAGAAAACATTGGAAAATTGAATGGCTTCACTGCATAAATACGCAGTTCCAATGATCTACATTCTCCATTTCTGCATTGCTGTAGACTTCCAGCTATTAAGATAAATGTGTCAAATATATGTAGATGTATATCTGACATAGTGATGTTTTGTATTATGTCCAGTATGAGAAAATTGAGTTAGTCCAATAATTTGTCTTTTTTCTTAATTTTTTAAGTTTTTGAGACAGAGTCTCACTCTGTTGCCTAGGCTATAGTGCAGTGGCATCAGTCTAGCTCACAGCAACCACAAACTCCTGGGTTTAAGCAATCGTCCTGCCTCAGCTTCCCCAGTAGCTGGGACTATAGGCACCTGCCACAACGCCAGGCTGATTTTTCTATTTTTAGTAGCTAGGAGATCTGTTTCTTGTTCAGGATGGTCTAGAACTCCTGAGCTCCAGGGACCCTCCCACTTCAGCTCACAGGGTGCTAGGATTAAGGCATGAGTCACAGTGCCTAGCCTAATTTGGCATTTTAATTGATTTTAAAAGGTGTTATTTTTCTGTGCCTGAAATTTAAATCCCTAGTCAAGAATTTGGGGAGAAAACAAATCTTTTTGTTTTACATTCATATATATATGAATGCTTAGATAGTTAATGATTAATTATAAATCACATAGCTAGTCAGTGTCCAAACATTTATTGGAATTTAATATATCTGTTTTCAGAGCCCACAATTTTAAACACATGCTTTTCATTTCATCTTAGACTAGTCTCTTGGCATGTCATTTTGTAAATATTACTGCTCAACCTTTTGAAATCTATTGGTAATTGACCTCCTCTCCATGTGTATCTGTCTCCTAATTATATCTTATAAGATATCCTTATATCTTTGCCTGTGAGCTTTGGCAGATAGTAAAGTTTAACAGCTAGTCATTATTGGAGAGACAGAAAAGAATATCAAGGGAATAGTTTTGCAAAATAACAACAAAAATTTAAAAAAAATGGAAAACCCGGCAAGAACGGTTTTCATTGATGTTTCATATATTACTTCATTTTCTTTTTTCTTTTTTTTTTTTTTTTTTGAGACAGAGCCTCAAGCTGTTGCCCTGGGTAGAGTGCCGTGGCATTACAGGTCACAGCAACCTCCAACTCCTGGGCTCAAGCGAGTCTCTTGCCTCTGCCTCCCAAGTAGCTGGGACCACAGGCGCCCGCCACAACGCCCGGCTATTTTTTTGGTTGCAGCCGTCATTGTTGTTTGGCGGGTCCGGGCTGGGGATTCGAACCCGCCACCTTAGGTGTACGTGGCTGGCGCCTTAGCTGGTTGAGCTATAGGCGCCGAGCCCATTTTCTTTTCAATAAATTGACCATCACTGAAAAGTCTTCTAAAAGCAAGATTTATTCTAGAGGTGAAGAAACTTAGGAATATTTTCAATTTGCTACAATTATACATGTTTATTTATAATTGGACTTTACTCAGTTAATGTTAAATCCTAAGGATTTTCTGAGCATGTTATGGTGGGAGGTAAAGTTATTGTTTTGTACCTTTTTATACTTTTCTTATTGGATCTGAATTAAACTTAGGACCAGTGAGAACTGGACACTGGGGCACAGCCACTACTGCTTTGAAAGCAAGTTCTCTAAAATTGGTTACCAAGTATTTTTAAATAACACTTTTTAAAAACTATTTTTACCTTGCTACTTGATGGCAGTACAGAAACTTTACTTTTGTCTGGTCTGTGAAGCACATTTACTTATATATTATCTCATTTTAGTTTCATGACCACTGTGTGACCATTAATTACACATCTTATTGAGGAGGAAACTGAAGCTAATAGAGATTTAGTAATTTTCCTAAGGTAATGATCTGGGATAAATGATATAACGACAGTTTTGTATCTAAATTCCATATGTATGAAACTTCACACATTTCCCTTTGAAGTTTTTCTTTTTAAACTTGCAGTTAAAACACATAAGTTTTTACTGTTTTTTTTAGTTAGGGAGCATGTCCCTTAAATTACAAAATAGCCATTACCTTGCAATATTAACTTACAAAGATTATATGATTTTCCATTTCCTCCCTTTGATAGTCTCCCCAACAAGCATATTTCTTAGTTTATATGTTCTGGACTGAAATAAATGTGAACGATTTTTTTGCAAAAGGGAAAGAAATCAAATAGTCATACACAATGTGTTGCGTCCTTGAATAATTGATGAGTCTTTTAGCCACCAAAGAAAAAACTGGGAAATAGCTGTCATATAAATTATATATAGTTCCCCCATGGGCTGAAATTGCATAAACACAACACAGCCAGATTCATTTAAAAATATACATCACAAATGTGGCCATTTTGAATTGTATTGAATAGAGTCAAGCCTGGTAGAAATGCTGCCGTCAGCATTGACGATAATAAGTTAGATTCATTTAGTGCTGTCGTGGTCATGAAATGAGTGAGATTTGTCTCCACAGAAGCTCATTTCGGAGCTGACTTTGTATCTTATTCTTTTGACATTTCGAATTTCAACTTTTTAATAAAGACTTGGGTCTTGATCTTGGGCCCTTCACCTAACCGGCCAGGCCTTTCATTGCAGGAGCCTTAATGATTCTCATCCATTTTTCATTCTCTGGAATGGTGTGTTCCAATTTTATTTCCATTTGAAGCTTGGTGTACACTATTTTATGACAGTCTGTCATTATCTGCCATAGTATTGGAAGCATGCTAAGATTTTAAGGAGCCGTTTATGCAGATTTGGGGAGAAACCAGTAATCGGGTTGACTATTGGCCTGAGAATGTATCATTTAATTTTCTTTATGATGGAATATTGGATGTTAATTTGAAAAAACACCCAGAAAGTTATTTACTGGCATTTTCCCTATTTCCTACAAGAACAGCAGCGAGAAGAAAGCCCTGTGTCAAGTCATTGCTTGTCTCCTAATTACAGCTTTCTTTTTTATCACTATCTTTCACACGCTAGCTTTTAGTTCCCAGAGCACCGTACTCAACTCCTCGTCCTTCTGTTGTTAATTATGGAAGAAGGCATTCTTTAGCCCAGAGTTCATAAAATATAGTTTGTGTCACAAACAAGTTTTATTTTCTTTTAGCTTTTTAGAGACAAGTTTTAAAAACTGCTTGGGGATAAAAATTCATAATTATTTGAGACATCACCACAAAATGGGCATCTTAATCCTTTTTGGTTAAAAAAAAAAAGACACTAATTTATCCAATGTTCTATTTGTTCCCTTTCCCAGAAAATTATACGTTGGTTAATAATCTCTTTAACTGCACACATGGGCCATTGGTCCTATTTTTCCTAAAATTCAGCTCCATGTATAAAAGTGACAGAGATAGTCAGATAGTCGGAAGCCTCATTTAAAGGAAGATAAAAGGCAGGCCATATTTCCACTTTGTCTTCGAATGTTAGCTTTAGGCATAAAGGTCTTCAGGAATTCCATTCTGAAACTGTAATACCAAGAGAGAGAATAACACATTATGTTTGTTGCCATCTGCCAGTGTGTTAGCCCTGATAATATTACTCAGTTCAGGACTCCTTTTTATCTTTTTTGGTAATCATAATCTTTTGGAGTTCTGTGTTAATGGAAAAATTATGGAAACTCACACAGCAAACAGTTTTATTCATGTCACATGCCTTGTTCTCCTGGTAGGACTAAAGCAAAGGTGGGCGTTAGCCTTGTACAGAGAGTTAGTTTGGACCACCATATATATGTCACAAACTCTTTTCCCAAAGTGAGGTTTACAAAACACCTTTACACCTCTACTATTTCCCTATCAACCCACAGCCAACATTAACAAGTAACCGAGGGGATTCACAGGAGCGAAAAAAGGGAATGTATCCCGTGGCCAACCTTGAGCAGATCTTTTATCTCCTATATCCTTCAACATCTTGTAACAAAAAGACATCCTCCAATGATCACTGGAGGAATCCAGAGGAGCCCGAATTTTGACATCTTAGCACCAAGGATGTGAACAGGCTCTTCCCCCACGCACACCATCTATAGATCTGAGAGAGAACATAGAGCAGCCAGAAGAAAGGGGAAGCTGAAAGTCTAAGGATAAAAAGGAAAGTAGCCTGACTAATCAACTGAGAAATGACAGCCGTAATACTATCCAACTACGAAAAGGGAAACACATGCTTTCCAAATAGGACTTTGTTACCCTTATGCTAAAGCTCAAAACCTATCCTTTGATTCTTTGTGAAAGCCTTTCTACAGATTGCCTTTCCCTTGTGAAAAATCAAGGGTCTTTCTCCTTGTGAGTTTAGAATCTCTAACCTAATTATAAAGTCATCTCTCTAATTGTAAGATTAGCAGGCTGCATACATGCATTGTAGTTATAACAGAAGAAAGTGGTAAAGTAGAAGAAAGCGATTCCCATATCTCATACATTTCTGAGGGTAAATATAACGGTAGGGCCCGGACAGGAAGCAAAGTGGCAACACCAGCGAGCTTACTGGGTTGCAGGGAGGTGAGTTCAACATGCTAGGAGAGTTCCTCAAAGTAGGAAATTTCATACTGAGAATAAAGATTTCGCTTACATAATTTTCCCTAGGACTTTATTATACGTTCTCTAGGGTCGGGCTGGTATGTTTCTCTTACAGAATTGAGATACAGACTTGGTATCTGTTTTCTTAGCAAAATTGTCTCCTCGTGTGTATCTTTGATTTTGGAACAGGAGAACACAGGACCCCAGAAGAAAAATATTTCGAATACAGTATTTGTGTTTCATGTCAACAGCCAACCCGGTCTGTGATTCCCAGACTGGGCAGGCCTCACGTATTATTTAATGCGAATTAACTATGCAGTAAAATTTTTCCTTCGCTACAGGATGTGAAAAAATATAGAGATAGTTATTCTCATTATAAGCTAAAAAACAGTTTGATTTTGTCACAAAGGATCAAAGTTTGCATTTTCAGGTGCTGTTACTGCGTCTTTCTGCTTTGGAGAGCTTTTTATGGATTTCATCTTCTTGTTTCAGTAGGGTCTTCATGGTTGTGACTATGTCTCCACAGCCAAAGCTAAGCAGACCTTGAAGGTAATTACTTAGAAAATTAAGGGGGAAATGTCTCCACTCTGCTTTCCCTGTGGAGCCTTGGCCTCCAATCAAATAAGGGGTGTTGGGCACCCAAAAGCTTATCTGTTGTCCTTTTTCTTTTCTTAAGTGAGGTATTACAACACTGTTTCTTCTTTGATTTTTTCCTATAACACTTTGTAAAAATGGCAATCGGGGTATATTGGGGGTGGATGGAAGGTAATAATCTAGTAATATGTCTTTTTTGTAGCATAATTCCCATGATCCAGTGAGTTCATTCACTTCCAAAATTATTCAAATTGGTTTAAAGTATATACCTGAACTGAGATTAGCTTCTGCTCACAATATTATCTTGGTCTTGGCTTTCGAATATTTGAAATATATATTTGCAGTTAAAAGTAAAGTGTCATATGATTTCAGAATGTCTCTATTCTATTCCTAGTGCACGAATTGCCCTTGATGGTCGAGCACAAATGGAACCTCATGGACATCTCACAGATTTCTGCTCCTGGCCCCATCCCTAACTTCCAGATAGATCAATAGTATTTTACCACATCAGTACAATAAATGTTAAAGGGAACAGCGATGGGACAGGATTTTAATTTGAAGGACTAATGTTGCCACGGCGCATAGGAAGATTAGCTTATTTTTAGATTTTAAATATTAATATTTATGACCTAGAAAGTGGAACTTACTTGAGAAAGTCTTGTCCATTATACATAAATAGAAAATAATTTTAAGAGAAACCCCATTGTCTACATTTTGCTTCAAAAGGGATGAACGTATCTTGAAACTCTGTACATTATGAAAATAAGTTTAGATTTCTAAAAGTGTGGTTAAATTCATCCCTTTTTCAGCATTTATACCTGTCTTCATTCAACGCATTTACAAGGGTGTGCCATGTGAAAGAACTATTAGAAAGCTTGGTAAAGTTTCTCTGTAACCTCTGTTTCTATGTGAAGATTATGTTTTGGGATGTAAATATTGATCAGGTCCTATCTAATCATTAAGACAATTCAATATAATCTAATCTGTTATCTCCATTAATAGATGACAAGCAGAAGAAAGAAATAAGTGCCTGAAAATTCACTTCTAAAATTTCAAGAGACCCAAAGGTTATAGAACATAAGCATGTGTGACTGAGTTGGGTGGCAGAGACGCCAAGCATAACTTTGCTTAGACCTGTTGAAAGATAGGGCGTAGAGAATTATGAAACAAGTCACTGTTAAATGAAAATGAAATCTAAATCTGGGGAGCTAATCTGACTATGACAGCTCTGATCCTCGTTCATCACCATGTCCACTGAACCCCTGTTGCTGGCTGGTGTTACATTCCCCCGTTCATTATTCAGGTGTCACAGGTGGTAACACCTGACGGGTTTTCTTTGTTCAGAGAAACTGAGTATCTGTGTTCTTGGCAATGCTTAAATTGCCACACCTCTCCTTGTGCCTTATAAAAGTAATTTTTTTTCATTTTCATTGGTGTCTTTTAATAGATCATGTATATTGACCTAAAAAGACAGGTATGTAGTTTTCTAAAATCCCTACTCACAATTCTTTATATTTTCTAAAGAAAATCTCTGAGGTTAGTATTAGCTCAGTAGGCATTATGGGTTTTGTCCTGGAGGTTTATAATGGAGCTAGTTTTTTTTTTTTTTTTTTTTTTTTTTGAGGTAGCTCCGTTCTCCTTAGAGCAGACTGAAAAGTGTGCAGATTTCTCTTCTCTTCCTTTCTCTGCCTTTCCTCTTTTCTCAGAGAGGGTATATAGGGAAAGAGAGGATAAATTGCCAAGGTTTGCAGGTGGCATCCCCATTTGATGCCTTGTCTTTAGCAAATATGAACATAGAACAGTCTAGTCATTGTCCTAATTGAGGAAAGATACACTGAAGTCAAGAGCATGACTTCCTTCCTGAGACCCTTTCTCAGAGACCCTAGAACACTCAAAGAAAGAATTTAGAGCTAACAGCCACATCAGTTGACTCTTTGGGGTCCTAGAATGATCAGAGGGCTCCCAGTAACCACATCAGGGCCATCTTTCTTTCCACTGTTGGACCCGGGGAGTTCCAGGAGAGTGCTAAGAGCTTTAGGCTTTGTTGTACCAATAGCTGAGATACCTGAAGGCCAGCAGAGAGCTCCCCAGTGCCAGCCCTCTAATTCTTCCTTCTTCTGGAAAGTGCAGTCTTTTCCTTAAGGTCTATTTCACTTTCACACCGTTCCCCAGGAGAAGCAGCTCAATCCTCTGCCTCTACTGACTCTTGCCGTTCACATTTGTCAAACTATCTTCATGCCCAAGTCTCATTACCCACCTTGATGGCCAGTTTTCCCTGCCTCATTTAAACACTTTTTTATCGATGTGACTTATAGTTAAGTCATCTTTGCTTCTTATGTCTAATACCACAGTCAGTCTCAATCCCTTCTATTTCAGCCACCTTTGCATCTTGCCAGATCCATAAGGCAGGAAATTGGCGATTCGTGGGGATTGTTTAGTATGAAATGTTCTTTCTGAACCAAGATTACCTTTTACCTGCTTTTGTTTGCATTTCTCAGGTCAATTTATTTCCCTTGAACATCATTCCAAGATGCCATTTCTCAGTCCCCTTCCCATAGCAGGTTATAAAAAAAAAGGTGTCAAACATTATTTTAATCATTAGGATTCCCACAGTTTCCAGATAAGTGGAGGCTAGTGAGGGATGTGCTGAGATCCTAAAATGCTTCCACCTACTATTTGCTACCTGGAAATTCCCAGTTAAGTATTTAAAAGCTCCATTTTTATTTCATATGCAATTTTATATTCAGTGGTCTCCAAGTTTATTTACTCTATTAGAAGTATTTTTCCAACGTAATTCAGAACTCCCCCAAATCGCTAGATGTTAGAGCTGTACAAGTGGCTTATGTTTGACCATGTTCTCTTTCTAATTTTCTTAAAGGGAAAGGCTTTTAAAATAAGACACATCTTTGATTAAAGTATTTATAGTATACCACACTTTGTTTAAAATAATAATTCCTGATTTTTTTTTTTGTTGTTGGTAGAAAGCATTTGAAAATTAATCTAGGAACTGAGAGTTGAATTGTAAGAAAGAGTATATAAGGCCGTTCTTGATACATGGGCTTTAAGAGTTAAGGTCATGTTTGAGGGAACATAGACTTAACATCAACGTTAAGCTAGATATCTGTGTCTCATCAAACTTTCATGTGACATTTTACTTGGGTTAGATTTGAGGATGAAGTTCCCAGCATGGTTTTCACCTGTCATGAGGTTTTTCTATTAATTTGGACTTCAAGAGTCAGGAAGGGTTATTAGGAGAAAGTAAAGACTGGAATGAGGAATAAGTAGATGTTGGCCAAACAAACTAGAAGGGAAAGTGTTCCAATCAGAATCAGAAGGGAAACAGTAGAAACAAAGGCCCAGAAGCAACAGAGAAGACGAGAGGAAGACAGAGTGAGATAGGATCAAAACTACGGAAACCCAGTCTTCAGAGCAGGGGACGAGGGGTAGGGTGCATGATGAGAGGCTGGTGTAGCCAGAGAGACCTAAAGCCAACCAGACTCGTGGAACAACTATATTAGGAGATAGATTGTTTTGGTTTTCTCCTGAAGGCAGTAAGAATAGTCTCAATAATTTTTAGAAGGAAGAAAACGTAAGTAGATTCCATTTTAAATTACATAGGCGGCTCGGCGCCTATAGCTCAACCGGCTAAGGCGCCAGCCACGTACACCTAAGGTGGCCGGTTCGAATCCCCAGCCCGGACCCGCCAAACAACAATGGCAGCTGCAACCAAAAAATAGCCGGGCGTTGTGGCGGGCGCCTGTGGTCCCAGCTACTTGGGAGGCGGAGGCAGGAGACTCGCTTGAGCCCAGGAGTTGGAGGTTGCTGTGAGCTGTAATGCCACGGCACTCTGCCCAGGGGGACAGCTTGAGGCTCTGTCTCAAAAAAAAAAAAAAAATTACATAGGCTACCGTGCAGAGAATGAATTGGAAGTGTGTAAAACTGGAGGAATATTATCCCGCCATATTGGCTTGGAGAGTGCGTGGGTTGTGATAGTGGCAGCTAGCCTGGAGACATCTTGTATAAATATTCCATATGTATATTGTCTACAAGGTGAGGCTTCCTAACTTAGTACATGGGTTATTTAAAACTGAAGTACCGTTAAGTTCTTCTTGTCCTTTAAACAATAACAGAAAAGCAACATGCTGGTTTTGGCTTGTTCTGACGTATCTGCCTGGCATAGAGAACTTGGCTGGGCTTCCACATGTCAGAGTTTCCACTTGTTAATAAACGGTTTCTTTGGTGAGAATTTTACATAGAATAAAAATTGTAGGCTACTCATCGAAACTAAATGAGAATGAAGGGAAAGAGTCTTTTTATATTTTACAACCATAGCACAATTGAAAAAATAAAAACTTCTGGGGAATATCACTTGACGAGAGTCAAGTAAATTCACAAAAAGGCACAAACTGGTTCTCCTATCAACAAGTTTTAAAAAATGTGTTACCCTAGACTCTTATTCTCCAGATGTTACTCAGATTCTCCGTTCCAGGTCTGCCTGGTGATTTAGCACACGTTTTGTTTAGCATAGCAGAGCTATAAAAAGTACAGTGCTTTGCCCCCAGTAAGCCTTGCAGTGAGACCAAGGTATTTATGTTAAAACTGTTTCTTGGGCCAAGATTCCTCCCCAGAGTATTTTTTGGCCATTGACAATTTTTTTAACATGAGTTCATTACAGAATACCCAGAAAGCAATGATTCCAGATGTGCAGTTGGAGTTCAGACCTTTGGGTAGATGTTAACCTGATTTATCCATCTCCTGTGAAATCTGTGAGTTGTCAGTAACAGGTAGTAAGCAACCACCATGTGCCTGGCGTTGGACTCATGGATCAAGCAGTGAACAAAACAATCACCTTATATTCTAGAAGATAGATAATAAACACATAAACCAGGAGTCAGATAGTAAAAGGCCAGACATAATTATTTAAGCTTTGTGAGAACGACTTTATTACTTTAGGTACAGTAGGTAATGAATTTAGCATGGCTGTGTTCCAATTGCACTTTATTTATAAAAATAGGATGTGAGCCAGGTGTGTTCATTGGGCCATAGTTTGATGACTCCGACATAAATCATGAAATAAGTAAGTTTGTGTTTTGTACTATTACAATAGGAAAGAAGATAGAACAGGATAACGTGGAAGGAGATGTACTAGAGTAGTTGGGAAAGACTTTCTTGTGATTTGGTAAACATAGGTCTAAGTCAGAGGTTCTCAACCTGTGGGTCGCGACCCATAGGAACTGTATTAAAGGGATGCAGCATTAGGAAGGTTGAGAACCACTGTAATTTATAAGCAAGTTGTGAATATTGTCTATCTTTATCTCAAAATTAAATGTAAAACTACAAAAAGTAAGTTATAGATTCATGGAAGGTAGGAACCATATAGAACATGCTGACATGTAGTAATTCTTGCATTGCTGTTGGAAAGTTTCGGCCCCAGCCTTCAGTAATTCATACTTTCTTCTGAATTTCCCTGGCTTTTATTAAATGGTAATACTCACTTAACACTAAGAAAAGGTACCATATCTCTTATGTGTGCTTTCCTGAAGTGCATGGACAGTGTTTGATGGTAGTTTCTATCCTACCTGCTCATTTTGGCATTCTTCCATACTTGGAACATGATAACCATCAGATTATCATATCATGAGGAACAGAAAAGCTATAAGACAGTGCAGCCAGGAGTCCAACAAAGGTGGATCAGACCGAGAATTTGCTTTCACAGTGCATACATGGGCTTTAAGCGTTGAGCTTTAAGAGAATCTGCTTTCACAGTGCATCAATGCAGGGTAACTTGGCTACACATAAAATATTAACCAGAGGAAAAGGAGGGGCACACTTCTGAACAGCAGGCGGTTCTCTGATTAGATCTGCAGGGCTAGCTTTATGTGAATTGTGGTTGTTAAATCCTGATCCATGCAATGAATCAGAGAATAGAAGTTTTTCAATAATACAATGGGGTGTTGGGGTCATTTGGTTAAACCACAGGGAATAATCTATCAGGCAATAGATATTGCCTCTTATGGAAAGCTGGTAAGAAGTCTTGCTTCAGAGCTCAAAGATCCAGGTGGAAAGAGATGCAACAATAATAAAAATAAGACAAAATGAAGGGTGGTGTGAGATGGACCATGAATCAGACTCCAGATTAATTAATTTGACAAACATTTGTTCAGTACTTCTGATAAGCGGCATACTATGTTAGGCAGTGATGAATTTAGACGGAATTTAGATGGTATACATTAGATTTATCTAGAAAGCTTTCAAAGGGAAGGTGGAGACTCACTAGTGTTTTGAGAAATATATAGGATTTGAATGAGAGAAACTCAGGAGAATAACAGAGTAAGCAACACAGAGGAATGGGAAGAACTCAAGGGATCTTTGAACAGTGAGTGGATCAGTTTGGCTAGAGATTATGTAGAGAATTCAAGTAGGAAAATAATGTGATAAAAAAGGCTTGGGGGGGCAACTGTGAAGTCTTTGAATGCAAAGCCCCCACCCCCTGGAAGGCATTGGACAGCAATTGGAGGTATTGAGTAATAGAATGATAAATGGACCTTTAAGGCAATTGATATGGCAGAAGTTTATATATAAAAT